CAAACGATTCAGCAATTATAGAAATAGACGATCCCGTATCCACAAAGAAATTTGCTGATCTACCAGCACAATTTCCTCCAACCAAAATGCAGTTTCCCTTACTGCCACCAATCTCGTTACAATCTTCATAGTAACGTGTGTTTTTGACCGCGGGCGACCTCCTCTTAAATCTAGGGCCGCCCTTTAGAAGTTTAAAGGCGCCTGATTGTTAGGTCTATATGCTCTGTTCCCACTCTGTTGGCCATAACCACTCTGATATAAAGACCCCCCGTCTTGATATCTATCTCTATTACCAGCAAATCTGCTCGGACAGTTTCTCTGAAAATGCCCTCTATCACCACACTCCCAACAACCTTCTAACTGAGGGCGAACGTTACGTGATCCCCGATTATTCGAATTACCCACGTAATTTCGAGCTGGCTGATAACGTGACTGAACAGGCGTGTTTCTACGATCATCATTTCTCATGCCACCCCTAAAACTATTGCTAACTAGATTAGGAGTCCATGAACGGCCAGTGCGCTGGTTAACTTCCGACTGGGAAGGAGGACATTTAGGATGATAACTCTCCTGGCTTGTGCTCGTCATCAAGTTGTCACGTGTTTGCCCAGGTGCTGGAACCCTAGCTCTCTGGCCATCTAATCCAGAATTATTAACAGCGAAGATCGTATCCTGGGCCTGAGTGAAACTCCCTGGTTCCCCACTAACAGCTAACGTAATACGCTCAGTATGAATTGCAAGTTTAACTGCTTCTCTATAGGAATGCAACTGGGACTCATAAAGCTTAGTCCTTACAGCTACGTCACGAGCTCCTACAACAAGAACATGCAAACAACTCTCGTCCTTCTTGGCCTCGCAGTCATACCCAGCCTTCAAAGCAAGCTCCTCAATGCGTGCAATGAACTGCTGTAGGTTCTCACTAGCTAACTGACGCAATGACATGAGCTCAGTTCTAAAGGCCCAAGATTGAGTAGAAGGAAACATCTCCTCTGAGTATCGCTTAATGAGAAGATCGATATTACATTTCTCGTCCGGCCTGAGAGAGACCTTCTGCAGTGTTTCCCAGGTGGATTCACAACGAATGTACGACAACATGTACGTACTAACATCCGAACCACCACTATGCCCACATAGAATCAAATGCTCCTTGAATCGCCTGGCAAATTTGATGAAATTAGATCCAGTTTCAAAATAAGGAGGCTTGGGAGGCCTGGCACCTGTCAAATGTGGACCAGCTACTGAACAATTCAATGGGGTTATAATACTGTTACCAAAATCATCCTCGGTGTTCGCGTTTCTAAACTGAACCTGCTCGGATTTAATAACAGGATTCATAACGTGTACGTTCTCTTGAAATCTACTGCTAGAACTAGCTGGAGGGGCGTTAGTAACTGTGCTAACAGGTTTAGGCCGTGCATTATCAATCTTATCCTGCAGGCCTTCTAAAGCTGAACGTAAGTCCTTCAACTTATCTTCTAATTCGGAAATGCTATTGCTATCTGCACCAGAATCTAAACCATCTATCTCCTTCATTATTTCATCTATGCTAGACTGAATCTTACCCCTTTCTAAAATCAACGTCGCCCACTCCATTTCAGCTGCAATACTATCACACATGCTAAAAAGTGAATCTAAATGTAAAAATACACTTACAAATAGAGTAGATAAGTACTGGAACAGGCGTACTCTTCACGTTGCTGGAAAATCTTCTAGTCAAGACTTTACTGTGCTTTACTGGAACTGTAACTTCTACGTCTATCACTCCTGAGTAGATGTACGGAAAGTAAGGTTGCAAAACTTACGCAAATCTCACTAACAATCTAGGTAATAACGTACTGAAGTCTACAAGCGGCTGTAAACTAGGTGCTCGTCAAAACGATCGCACTCAACTGGAATATACAGGTACCACAAAATGGGTAGCTACACTTACCAAATCTAGTAGGAAGTACTGAAAGATCTCGAACAATCTCCACGTAATTCTTCTGGACTTCGACGTATACCGAACTTAGCTTATCAAATGAGAAACGTTAGGATCTTAAACGAAACTATACTGAATATAGGTGATACTAGAAGGATCACGAGCAAAAATAGCAACACTAAAAGTGGCCTCCAGATATAGAAAACCGCGTTCCTTAGTGTTTAGTGTATGCTAGTCAAGCTCTAGTCACGAAGCACGAAACGGCAGGGCGTACCGTATAGTAGAAATGAAACGAGTATATTAAAAAGGATAATTTACTTGTTTTCTTTCTACCCTACGGTACGCCCTGCCGTTCGTGCTACGTGACTAGAGCTTGACTAGCATACACTAAATACCAAGAGAACTCAGTTTTCTATATCTGGAGGGGTTTTAACGATCTGGAAGGGTTGACATCATCAATCAAACACAATATGAGTTATTCCTACTTCCTAACTCAATTCCTACTTCCTTCTCACTTTATGGCGACAATAAATAAAAAAAGGGACCTTGGCGTGCCACACCCTTTGTTTTACAGAATTTTCAGGAAATCTAAGTTTGACCCATATCACATATCGGCATATTTATATTTTCTGAAATTCTTAAGTAATTCTGATACGAATTACGTAAGTTATTATTAATATTATCATTAAAGGGTTGCAACTTGCGTGTTGGTACTGGTCGCTCCTACTAAATCGCTCGCCCAAATTTTAAGAAAATTCTTGTGAAAAGGCCCTTTTTGGCTAGTAAAACGTGTATTCGATTATTTAGGGCTCGGGTTAGGGTTAGGGTTGTGGTTAAGATTATGGATAGCTTCGGGGTTATGGTTAGGGTTAGGGTTGGGATTAGGGTTTATGTCAAACCGTTTTGTACGGCTGCAAAACCAAAAAAACCAAAGTCACGTGAAATTTTTGGGCGAGCGATTTAGTAAAAGCCAAATAAACCCGACAGTTGAAACCACCTTGAATCGATGAACATATTGTATTTTTGAAAGCTAAATCCGAATCACCCCACATGACATTGACACAGGGTTATCATTTTGTATTTTTCAATTGATTATAATCAATATTCAATCAGAATGTGTATAGTGTTTGTCGAAAAAGTTTAAATTGTGAAATATGCACATATAATTGCTTCACTTTACGTGAAAACAACTGCATTTCATCAATATTCAATAATACAGTGCCTTCAAAATCATACCAGGTAATAATATAATGCGCTTTACAACTACAACTTACTTGGTCTCAAAACAGCATGAAAAATGAAAGCAAAACTGAAAACAATGTGATATTTTTAGGATATGCAGCATCAAACAAAAAAGTAAAAATAAGGTGAATCTTTTGTAATTTCTTACATCTCTGCCACAAAAATTTAAAAAAAGTGTTTTATAATCTTTTTCAGGAAAACACAAGACGTGAAATGCAGTGCACAGGAATTGTAATCGTTTTACTTGTTAATGTTTTTAGATTTCACTTCGCAGTGGCATGGACAACAGTTTCCGGACACAGTACTTTTGATGTCGACTTTGACTTATATGACTTAGAGATGAAAGTGTCAGGAGTTAGGCAGTTTGATATCCACGGTAGAAATTTTGGTGGCGGCCTCATGGAATTCAATACTGACAGTTATAGTTCAACATTTCAATTTCAAAATTTGTGTAATACAGAACAAATATCGAATGTCCCAGTACCAGCTTCCAATGAAAGAATTTGGAGAATGCAAAAGACTTCAAGTGAACTTTTTTTGTATTGTGATGAGATTCTTGTTGGAAGTTTTAGCAGGTCATGGTCATTTAGCTGTATAGAAAACCGCGTTCCTTAGTGTTTAGTGTATGCTAGTCAAGCTCTAGTCACGAAGCACGAAACGGCAGGGCGTACCGTATAGTAGAAATGAAACGAGTATATTAAAAAGGATAATTAATTAAAAGGAGAAAGTTATACAAAGTGAACGTCAACAGAGAAAACTTCCAAGTGTTCGCTCCAAGCGATTGCCGTGAATATAGATCACACTACGTGTCTAGTCACAGAGAATAGTACTCAGTTAAACTGGCTATTGACAATCGAATCCCTTAAAATGATTAAGGGGCAACTAAGAAGTGAGCTCTCCACTTCCGGCTCTTCGGGTATACTCTCAAAACTTCGTCACGCCACACTGCGTGACAGCACAACGCATTTGCTTGTACCACGTGACACGCCGTCTCGCCAATGAGCACTCCACTAGCAGTCACGCTGTGGTCGCGAGGACCAACCACAGGCCTGGCTGTAAGTCAGGTGCAAAGTGAGCGGACGGCTCGTTTCAGACAGTTAGTCTGACAGTAGTTCTGCCAGCCAACCGACTTACACTCAAAATGTGTAACTCCCAAATACGAACATATAAAAACATTGGTTATTATATACCCGGAAATACATACTAAATTCTACGTCCCTTAAACGTTATACTAAAACTAAGATATTCTAAAAGATATCTCTAAATACCATATTACAACAGCTGCTTATCTGATTATCAGTGGAACAATTTTGGACAGGACTTTTACTTTTTTGATGATGCAGTGACACATTATCGAATAATTTCTTCAAGTGAGTGATCAATAGATTGCAAAACCTTTTTTTCGTTGATAATCCAAAGCGATAACAAAAATTTTAAGATATGTATATTTAAAGAAAATGACCCAACAAATTGTTCAGAAAACAGCAGATCAGCAATTAACGGAGGTTGGAGTTCATACGGCTCATGGTCTACCTGTTCAAGATCTTGTGGAACAGGAACAAGATCAAGAAGCAGAACTTGTACTAACCCTTCTCCATCTCATGGAGGAAGCAGTTGTTCTGGATCATCTTCAGAGAGTCAGAACTGCCACACTAACAATTGTCCAGGTAAAGGAAACAAAAACGCCGAATATTGAACGGTGGTTTTTGGGGACCATCTATGTCTATTGTCACAAATCCTTACAATATCGTTGGCCTGTAAGAAAAATAAATGTATTTTCCGCTGTAAAAATTGTGTTCAGTTAACGGAGGTTGGAGGTCATATTCTTCATGGTCAACCTGCTCAAAATCTTGCGATGGAGGAACACAAACAAGAACCAGAACATGTTCGAATCCTTCTCCGGCACATGGAGGAAGCAGTTGTTTAGGAATGTCTTCTCAGGGTTATAAGAAGAGTCTCAATATATTTAGGCTAACTTGTAAATAATTAATAACGAAGTCATATGCAAAGTGGAAACGCAAAATTTAGCTGAAAAACAACGATTACGTGAAATTTGATCGTAGAAAATGAACATTCGATGGCAGAGATTGCAATTTCATGTTCTATTTCAGTTGTGACTGCGGTCAATAAAGAACAGCTGGCTGGTACAAGAGCGTTGATTTCTTGTACTGTTACTGGTCTGACAAGAAAACTGGATAGTGTGAAATGGACGACTTCTAACAAAGTAGCTATATCTTCTGGTCAAAACATTGTTTATGATGGTGGATTTGATAACACAGCTGACGGTTCTCAGACCACGATTCTGACTGTTCCTGGTTCTCAAAACAACCGCGATACGATTTATCATTGTTTGATCACATCTGCTAGTATTGATCGAGTAAACAAAACAATAGTCGTCATCTTGAAAACATTTAGTAAGTTTTCCATTTCATATAAGTGGATATTATGTGTGTCAGTAGTGTGATGAGGACATCTGTTTGATTAAAGGTTCAACGGTGAACTCTGTGAACTGCTTTCTTTTCATGTTTCCCTTCGACCTTCATTTTAACTTCTATATTTACATAACTTTTTTTCATTAGAAATGCCATTTTTGTTAGAAGTCAAAAAGCAACGGGAGAAATGTTGGATAACAAAATTTAGGCACAAGCACTAATTCTTTAGCTGACCTTGGGTCTTAATTCAGTCATCAGACTGTGAAAATTTACAGAAATAAAGCACATTTTCGATGGTCATGTCATAAAAATCAAATTATGACGCGATGGTAAATACCATTACCTGCTAACCAAATATTTCAGATGTTGCCTCAACTCCCAAGGATTTGACCACCGCTGTAGACCAGACATTGACTTGCTGCTAAGCTGGCTGATTTTACTAGTCTATCATCAGTGACCTACAAGTGCTCAGTCAAGTCTGGCCAATACACAGATTCTCCTGCATCCGGAGACATAAATGTCAAAGCTACCATTCTAACACTGGGTGAGCGTAAAATATCTAGGTTGACAGTTTTATCTGCCATACTACTGCTAATCTAGGAAGTTAAAGGATTTTCATACAACAATTTATCCGATAATGGGTCAAATTATTGTGTATGATTGCTGCTCTTAGACAATAAGATGTTGGCACACTTGGTGAGTCAAGTTATTCTAACCAAATATTAATTTCAGTGGTAACTGCTGTGAACAAGGAACAGCTTGATGGAACTGAAGCAACGATTTCGTGTATTGTTGTGGGATTGACACAGGCACTCAGTGCCGTAAAATGGACGACGTCTGGGGATGTTGATGTGACGACTCTGAACCAAGGATACATCGTCGATGTGGGATCGTTGGTAGGACCTTCTCAAACTACCACTTTGACTATTCCTGCTGATAAGAACAACGATGATGTCACTTACTCGTGTGTTTTCACTTCTGCTGAACATGCTTCAACTGACCAGAAAACTGAAGTTACTTTGAAAGTCTTTAGTAAGTATTCTATGTTGTTTTTGTTGTTTTTGTTGACACTCTCTAGCCTCCAAAGTAATTAAAAGTACCCTATTGGATCAAATTACTATTAGAACTATTCTAATTAGCACGGTTTAAGTTCAAACAGAGAAAACATTTATAAACTTGAAAACGTTGACTAAGTTTTCTTCATTAGACCAGGGTGAGATATTTAAATCAATAATAGCCATCGCCCATCGTCAAAGGTTTTAAAAGACTGAATGATTAACTATGACATCAGCTAATCGTTTATTAACATGTAAATGTTTCAGTTGTAGCGTCAGTGACTAAGTCAGTGACTACTATAAGTAAGGATCAGACGTTGACCTGTACAGTAGGAGAACTAAACGTAGGTGGAACCCCTGTTAATGTAGTCTGGAAGGCTCCTGATGGTACGACTGTATCTGTCTTGGATATTACGAACTACGATATCAGCAACGGTACAGTTGATGGAACCGGCATACAGGTGGCAGAACTCACCATCAAGGCTACCAAGCTTGTTGCTTTTGCTAACCAGTCAACATTCACATACAAATGCTCGGTAACATCAACACAGTACCCAAACTCACCTGTATCTACCCACGGAGTTGTGGTCAATGTTCTAGGTGAATTAATTAACTTTAAGAATAATGTTCTACAAAAGTTTAAGACAATTTGTGTAGATCAGAGAACTCGATCAAACATGTCCACAATCTTGTGATTCTCTTTTAGATTATAGTTTTCTTATATGTTGCAGTGAACATAAAACTGCTTTTTGCTAATATTCTCCGTTGTGGTAATATACAACTGCAATAGTGTAGTGACTATCAATGTTTGAACTCAGATAAAAGTACCTTTGATCACCTTCCGTAATAATAAAGTGAGCGTTCCCTGTCTTCAAAATCTGGATTATAAAATTAGAATTCATTTCTGAATCATGAGTAATTACTAATCAGTAGTCAATGACTAGAAAAGGTTATTATAATGAAAAGTTACAACGAATGATATCGTCTGGACTTGGGACCAGCTCACAGTACATTACATTAATGCCCTCTGAATACCATCAGGCTAGCTCAAATGATGTGTTATAAGTTCAAAGTCACTATACAAAGTGTTTAAAGTACTCTGATGGCTTTGAACTGTGAAGCATTTTTTGCCCCTTCTCAGGTTTTACCATTCAGAACCATGTAGCACGTCCGCTATTAAAAAGGCATAATGAACCCCTGTTCTTATTGATTGATTATAAAATGATCAGTTGCAGACTTGAAGTATTCGCATGATTTGTGAAACTTTCAGTAACGACAAATTTCATGCAGATTTTAGTCTGATAGATTGGAAAGGCAGAAGTGTTGGTGTGGGAGTACGAGGGTTACTGATAGTCAATGAAGGAACAGTTTGCAACGACAATTTCAGCAACAACTCTGCCAATGTTATTTGTCGTAGGATGGGGTACAGTGGTCAAATTAGTTGGACTTCTGGTGACAGATGGAAAATTCAAGATGATCGACCCATTGTTATGGATGATGTGTCTTGTAACAGTAGAGAATGGAGTTCATGTTCGTATTCATGGTCTCACAACTGTGAGCACAGTAAAGATGTATTTCTTCAGTGCCAGGGAGTTGGTGAGCTGATTACTGAAATTCTAATATGAAATTAGATTAGTAGATTCTGTACCGAATAAGAAATTTACTGAATAAAATAGTCGGCAAGGATCGTATGAAATATATAAGTCGGAACTTTATGGACCATCATATCTTTTCAATAGTTGAGGTTACTACAAAGAAAAACAAGTATTGTTGAAGTATTAAAACTATCAGATCTAATTTAATTATTAAGGAATTTAATGAATGATTACTGACTGAATTAGCGAAGTTACTGACTCTCTTACATTTCACATCCAAGATAAGGGGCTTAATTTGAGGTCTAACGTTTTGCGGGAGCTTAGAAATTTCACTTCTTAATAACAATCTGTATTTCAGAGTATGATACCTGGAGTCCCGTGATACGAGAAAAATATCTCAGCGCTAACTTGGAGACTTTGCATCTGCATATGACAACTAATTCTAGTAGTTCTGTGGGAAATAGACAGACAATTAAGATATGGTTTTATGATACAGACCTATACCAGGCTGGATCGTTCTATATCTGGTTTGTATCCACCAATTCGGTTAGATATCTATTAGGGGAGTGTATGCGGTACTACACAAGTTTCCCAGTAAGTTTGCCTGAAGATCAGGAAAGGACCTGGATGATCGCTAAGCGTGGCAAAACAATAAAAGTATACTGCAATGGAAAAATGATTTTAGAAGTCGCTGCTTCCTCAGAAATATGTGACAATCCGGAATTTAGTACCACATGGGCTACATATTACGGACGAGAAGCAAACGCAATCTATTTCCCGATTACCCACACAGCATCAGACTCATATTACATAGGTAACCCCCTTTCTAATAAAAATATGAAGTTCAAATTTGCGTAGAGATTCAAATAAATGTGACAACAATTTATGTCAAGACTTTCATTGTCAGTGATCAAAACCTTTCAGGAGCTGAAATTCCAGAGGAAAAGTAGCTATTGGAGTAATCAGACATATTTTTCATTGTAGATACTTTCTACTAGAGGGAGAACTTGAACGCTTTAAGCGATCCTTACACTACCTTTTAGACATTTTTCAGCCGTTTTAGACCGCCTCACCTTCCGTCAGACACTTTAAAATTGCACAGCTATTATACAAGAATTACGTTATTCACAATAGCTATTATATATGAAGATATCTACCTAAAGTGTACTAGATCATTTTGCACAAGGCTTTCTCTCCCCGGTCTCTAGGCTCTGACTCAGGTCTTTAAACTGAGATCATGATATCATGAGATTCTAATGAATCACAATTAGGCGCGTCACAATTCTTATTTTTATCAGACTCATGACATTAGTGAGCAGCAAACAATTCTCCGTTTAATGTCTAAATATTATTTATTGAGACAAAATTATATTGAAATAAACAGGATGAATATTCGAAAGCGAAAGCTTCAAACTGTGAAGATCAAATAGAAATTTAGCTGAAAATATTGCCAAAGTAGATATTTTGTGCGTACCAGGATATCAGCATCTTTGTAAAATAAACTTTAAATTTGATGTGGGAAGTGAAAGAGTTAAAGAATTGTTTAATATTCGATCGCAAAATTAGGTTTTCAAGGTGCAGGGGAATTTCTTGAAATGAAATCGAAGCAGTTGGAATTTGTTCAGATCACCATGAAATCTGCCGTTCAGGACGCTGTACAAGCTTGGATCAAGACATACACTAGTCATTGTCAATTTTTATAAAAAACTTCGCTATGCGCACTAACAAAGAAAAGCTTTAAAAATTTGATCTTTGGTATGAACTTGGGTAAGAATGTGGAGTGATCTATGTATGATAATGACAAGCATTCAACTTCAGGTGTCCACTGTATATATATTTTTTTAAATCAATAAACTTTCAAATTGTTACACAAATACATCATTTTATTTCAAAGAAAATATCGCCGAATGACCTTACATGCCTTGACAAGTGACCGAGTGTAAACAAAATTAGGGACACCGAAACACCAGTTGACCAGTAAACTGATCATAGCAATTACATCGGGCCCTATATGCACCTATAAGTGAAGCGATGCTGCAACCAAGGCATGCTAGGTTTATTCCATTGAACTAAAAAGGTTACAGCCTAAAATATAAATATGATAAATAACATTGTACCATAAATCATAATTATAAACACGCTTTATTGAACATATTTCATTAATTATACTTTTTATCAATTTATATGTCGATAATATATAGTTTGTGTGTCTGATCATCGTGAAAGTTTAGGTAAATTGTTGAACTGTCAGAAGATGTTATATGGTCGTTTAGAACTGTCCAGAGGTACTTAATTAAATGGGTTTTAAACACGGATGGCCTTGAGATTTCCCTTAATTCATAAGGGAGTTTATTCCAAAGAATGTGTGCTCTGTAAAAGTAAGACTTAGATATGCCTGAACATCTGGTCTGGCTTGACGTAAGGTTTTGTGGAACTTGAGGAGAAATGTCACTAATCATACTGAGATCGTCTAGATGTGATCGCCTTAACCTACTTCCCATGAAACGTCGTAAGTAAGGTGGAAATGTCACAACTGACATGTCATAAAAAATATTATGAAAATATAATATATCCTTGTAATCAAACCTTACCGAGAGTGGAAGGATATTTAGTTCCTTACACGCTATGAAATACCTTTTTTTGTCCCTAAGGCTCAAGTAAATATCATTAAGGATCCACTTGATACCTCTTTTTTGTATCGATTCAAGTTTCTCCACCGAGGTTTCTGAATGAGGCCGCCAGACAATTGTGCAGTGTTCGAAATGACTT